TACAGGTCTTGACCCTCCCGCCTGCCCGTCCATCCACGGTAATGAAGCCCCAGGCCTCCGGATCACCATGGCAAATACATTCTGTTCCCGGAGGGAAGTTATATTTGGAAGGCAGGAGGGAAGAGGGCAGCCTGGAGCCCGCAAAACATTAATAGCTCCCGTCAATCCCTCTCATGTGGCGGTAAAAATGCCTCTTATTCTGTAATTGCAGAAATCCCAGAGGAATCGACAAATACCATGTTTCTGTTGCTCGTTTAACCTACAAATGGGATTAAAGGCCATTCTTTTGAGTACGCTGGACACAAATGGCTGACAGCGTGAAATACAGGCAGAGAACAGGTTCAGGCTGTGCCAGTCCGCCCACGTGCACAGCCGGGGCGCTTGTCCGTTTACCACAATGTCATCCCTGAGAGGCAGCGTATTGGTTAACCATTTTATCGCCACACGTCTAGGTCTAAAATTTATAAATAAATTAAAAAAAAAGCAGCATGGTGGCCGTCTAGGGACAAGTTGATTGAATGCTTGTGTGTGTTTAATAAGGTCCCATTCACACAAGTTATCGGGTGCAACCACCAGTGACAATCTAGTGATCCCTGCCAGCGAAGGTAAAGGCTGCCTGTACACCGTGTAGGGGGGGGGAAAAGCTGTGGCGAGCAGCAGCGGCTGTCAAATTTGTACAAATCAATGGCTGGTGCCATCACCGTTCAGCAGATCGAGTTTCTGACCAACCTTAGACGCAGACATGTGGAATCCAGGGACAGCGTTTCCGGCCACAGTCAACTGGCCAGTTTGTACGCAGCGATAGTACAGAATGCAGAGGTGTTCAGAGATGGCGTTTAATATCGCCATATCTCCGGAGACTGGCAGTGGGGGCAGCAGTGCCCTAGAACTAGGAGGCTGTAGGAACACAAGTGCCTAAGCACACTCGCAGACCAGGAAATTAATTCCAGACAGAAAAGGTACAACCTATCAATTCAGCATCATTCCTGTACTGCTCACGGTTATCCTTGCTGGAGGCTTTGAAAGTGGAAGCAAAGCCTTGCCTCTACGAAGATGGCCACCTCCACCCAGAGACAGTACAGAACAAGGCATGTTAAATCAGTAATATGAAAGAAAAAAAAAAAAACAACAGCATCAGGGGGACCACAGAGAACATTGGTGACCACTCCTTGTCTTCCGCCTGTTTTTTTTGACTGCAACTTCAAGAGTTCAGTTGCTCTTAAGGTCTCGTTCACACCTAGGCGTATTGCATATGCGCGCCTGTCGCGCGTTTTTTTTCCGCAATTCGCGGTAAAAAAAAAGTTGCGCGTTTCCGAAGGCTACTTGGCTGTATCCCAATGGAAACACGCAACAAAACGGCCCAAAGTAGTACCTGTACCTTTTCAGGCGTGGGCCGTTTTGTAGCGCGTTAAGGACGGGCTGAAATACACCAAGGTGGGAACGAGACCATTGAATACAATGGGATTTATATTTTTGAGCGTTTTGTAGAGCGTAGAACGCGCTACAAAACGTTCAGGTGTGAACGAGGGCTTAAGGTGTAAGAAGCGGTATGAGGTCTTGGGAAAAGCACCTGAGCACTATAACAGCAATCAAATGTATTCAGGTGGTGGGAGTTGTTAATAAGTACTGGTGCACTTTAAAGGTGGCCATACACTTTACAACCATCGCAAGACCTCAGTCTTGCGATGGTTGTAATGTAATTTAAAAAACGTACGATCTGCCCATCTTGGACAGGCAGATCGTACTTGCGATCATCGCAAGCCCGCCCCCCTGCCCGTGCGGCATTGATCTTACGATCATGCTAAAAACCAGCCGGAAATCATACGATTCTCGGCTGGTTTTCTAGCATGCTCCTTAGACAAAAGACGTGCGACCGTACAGTAAAAACGGTCGCACGCCTTCCATACACTTTGCGATTATCGTACGATAGCGGGATTTCCCGCGATTATCGTGCGATAATCGCACAGTGTATGGGCACCTTAAGAGTTACCTGCAGTTAATCAGCCCATATAAATGCGGAGTATTGTGCAGTGTATGTAGCCATCTGCCTGAAGTTCTGCTGGGACAAATATAGAAAAGGACAAAAAAAAGTGCACACATGCTACATGATGGTTCTCACCCTTAGCTCAGCCGGAACCGCGCAGTCCGCCAACATCGCCAATTCTTCCTGCAGACGCCCATTTCCAGACGGTTCCACAGTTAGAACCTTTACACACGTTCCTGGCTTGGAAGACACTGTGGGTGAGGGGGGAACACAATATTAAATAGGTCAAGTAGAAGGCCCGGGGACCAGAAACGGCCCGCCACAAGATCCCGCACCACCATGTTTCTCCTCGGCTGCAGGTTCCTCAGAGCCAGCATGTTCCTCCTCACCTCTGGTCTCAGCAGCTCCCGGCAAGTCCTGCTGTGTTTACCTGGGACTGTCTGTGTGTGAGGGCACTACAAGAGTCAGCAGTCCCTGTTCATTTCATGTGCGCTCACACACAGTAGTGTCATTTAATGGACAGGGACTGCTGACTCTTGTAGTGCACTCACACACAGGACACCCGGGCTGTCAGATAATGATTAGTGGGCCCGAGCTTTGTAATGCGGCCAGAAAGTAAAAAGAAAAGTACACGGCACGCGCGCCCCCTACAGTGTGATCGTCTGCACTGGAACGCAAAGTGAAGGAATGCCCTCCGTTCTGGTGCAGTGTGATCTAAAAAAAAAATGCTGCATGCAGGATATTTTCAGCTGCAAACCAGTAATGTGAACAGACCCTGAAGAAAGCTACCTGTGCTTTTTCAAATGCAGTCAGTCATTCAGACACACCGCCATGAAAAAAATAAAACAAAGTATATGCTTGCTGTGCCTTATATAGAAAAAACCTACCAAATTCATAAACCTTTTTACATTTCTCCTCCAGGTCTTCAATGAGATCCTGCAGCCGACACTGCTTAGCCAGCCTCTTGCAATCCTCCACGTGCTCCACGTCGATGTCCATGCGACCTGGGCAGATGCAAAGCAACAGAGAAGCACTAATGAGCAGCGCCACCTCTGAACACTGCACTGAACAGGTAAGCTGCAACACTACGTTATACAGCCCAGGTGGGCAAATCCCGGCCCTCCAGGTGTGGCGTAACTCTCATGAGGCATTGCAAGACTTACAGCCTAAACGCAGGACTCCCAAAGACAAAGACGTGATGGTATTTGTAGTTTCACCACAGCTGGAGGGCCGGAGTTTGTCAGTTTCACAATTTTTCCTGATCCGACAATGAAATGTTAAATATTTATATATACCTAAATTATTTGCCAATTTTATCGTACAAATATACCAGACCTCATGTTGTTACGTAGACAAGCATTTTTTATGCCCTTGTCAACCAACTTACTAGGAAGGGGTCTCTGGTAAATTAACTTCTTCATAAATGAATATTTTACTTAATTATGGGAAATAGGGATGTCCCGATACTGATACTAGTATCGGTGCTGATACAGTGCATTTTCAAGAGTACTTCTACTCGTGAAAATGTCCCGATAATGAAGGCAGATACTGGCCCTTTAAACTTCTCAAATCGGATTGGCTGCCGAGGTTCCGCGCTTGTGGGGGCCTGAGGCAGCCTTCGCGGGGACCTGGCAGTAGCTGTCTTTGACACTACCTGCCAGGTCCCACATCTTCTCCTCCTTCCCAGCACAGGCACAGCTGGAGGCAGCCCCACACCCCGAATACAGCATCGGAGCAGGCACGAGACTGGCACCCACTCTGTTCGGCTCACAACGCCCCAGTAGTGCGGGCTCAGCCCAGCACCCGTCAGCAGAGCCGTGGAGAGACACAAAATGCAAACCCTGCTGACATCTGTTTGCAGCCCTGGAGAGACTCATTGGCAGCACTGGTGACATCTGGACGCAGCCTGGTGACATCTGGCGTCCAGATTCTATATTTAGCTCTGGCGAGAACTGGACGCAGCTCTGGTGAGAAACTGCCCTAAAATCATTAGTCTGTATTGTCACAATGTCCCTTTAAGAAAAAGTATCGGTAATCGGTATCGGCAAATACCTGAGGGAAAGTACTTGTACTTGGTCTTAAAAAAGTGGTATCGGGACATACCTAATGGGAAGGTGTCCTTGCATTCATCCTGCTCTCTGCACAGGCTATGAACAGCACAGTGATGATAGTGAAGTTAATCTCTTAAGGTAATATCTGGGGTTGCAAAGGCATTTAAAAGCACACTTTGTGGCCAATAAAGAATAGATTTTAAGAGCAACTTTACCCATCTTCAAAATATCAAATATACCTTTAGAAATGTTTAGTAATGACAATCACCAGACACATACTTCCTGATAATTGCCAGCTTTGTATTCTTTGCATATCTTACTCTTTTCCTCCCCATTCTTCTGACAGTGGCCATTTTTACTAAGGGCAGGTTAGTACATCTCCCTTTACTTCCTGGATTTCTGGCACATGTGACTAGGACATGTGACCATGCACATCACCTCAGGGAAGGAAAATGCCTTTCCCCGAGATCCCGTTAGATTACAGATGAGATTTCCCAGCAATGCTCTGCTGATGTAACCTTCCCAGAATGCAACGCTTGGGCACATTACATAATTTGTGCCAAAGCGGACAAACAGTAATTGTAAGTAAAAAAAAAATATGTTGGTTTAGCAAATGAATGTAAGATTATTTCATATCTGCATGCAGAGCTAATGTGATTGGGTAAAGGTCCACTTTAAATAAGAGTATTTGTACAGAGTTCAGCTGTAACATTAGTATGTTAGTACCATCTGTAGTAAATTATGATTGAAGTAGATATATTAGGCTGGGCACACACCTTACAACCATCGCAAGACTTTTGTCTTGCGATGGTTGTAAGGTACTTTAAAAAAAAAAAACGTACGATCTCCCTTTCTTGGACAGGCAGATCGTACTTGCGATGATCGCAAGCCACGCCCTCGAGGGGCGGGCTTCCGATGACCGCAATGCTGAGCGGGCAGCGTGCGCTTGCGCATACCGGCCCGTCCAGCTTTTATCGTACGAACTTGCTACACACCAGCCGAACATCGTACGATGCTCGGCGTGTTTTCGAACATGTTCGTAAGATAAAAGTCTTCCACACACCTTACGATAATCGTACGAACACGGGATTTCCCGCGATTATCGCAAGGTGTGTGTGGGGACCTTAAGGGGTATATTTAGGGTGTATGCTGATGTATTGCAGGAAATTCTTTTGGCTGATGTTATGTAACACACCTATGCTAACTAGGTTTTTATTGTGTAAGTTTATTGACCAGCTGACCATCCTGATGTCAGGGTGTTGATTGTACACACAGGAACAGCTGTAGGGAATTTTGTCAATACCCGTTTAGTTAATTAACATCAAAGGGGTAATTAGGCCAGCCAATCCGAAGTCCTTTCCATGTTAGTGAATGGCACTAAACTGTATATGAATTCAGAGCCTATGGTGGCTAGGAAAAGTTCAGAGTCATGAAGGGACAAGCATAGGTACATATATAGAGATTGGAAATATATGCTGGGTAGATAGAGTGGGTCCTTATGGAGCCTTTGTAATTTGAGGTCTAGATAATTTGTTTTGATTATGAGTAGTGTTTAACTGGATCGAAGAAACAGTCCGACAGAATAATAACTTATTATTCTGTTGGACTGTTTCTGTTCATCTGTTTCTTCGATCCAATTAAACGCTACTCTCTGGAAAAGAACTGAGGTTGCCTGGATATCTTCTGAAGATCCAATTTTCACAACGCACATAAATATAAATATATCCATGTTTATACACATAACAGGATATTTTATCGCTACAGTTGGCATACTTTATCACTACACCAGCCACCAAGAATATGCTCGCTCACCTACCTGTGTACAGGTACTGAAGAATGGAGCCAAAGGCTGCTGGATTGATCTGAAGGGGAGAAAAACACAAACACAGTTTACCATTTACCTGCTTCTGGACCATTTCCCAACACTAAATATTGAGCTCTTCTGTGCGACAGAAACTGCCATTAACATCCAGCAACCTCAAATGTTTCCAGAAAAACTGGAGCAGACACAATCTGGAGCAGCTGTGCATGTGCAAAAAGATGTACGAAGGGTTTAACCTGACATGTACAATCTTATGGACAGTTTATACCTTAAAGCAAAGCGGTCAGCTATTTGAAGTAACTGAAAGTAAAATTTTGTACAAGAACAGGCGCCACATTTTTTTATCTCGTTCCACTTAATGGCCCCATCAAGCCGTTCCCAGGAAGGACAGGTGCTGTGTGTGATTGCATGCAGTAGCCTGTTCTTCTCTATGGGAGGATGCGGCCGTACGCTCACCTGGACGCAGACAGGATGGATCCTGTCTGCGTCCGAGCACGGATGTGCAGCTCGGGTGTGCGTATGACAGCGAATGGCGGCATCCTCCCATAGGGAACAAACAGGCGGTTGCATGCAATAACACGCAGCACCTGTACCACCCGTGCCTGCAGCACTGATCTGTACGGCTCAACTGTACGCTGTGTGAATGAGGCCTAATACTCTCTGGTTTCTATTTAGCTTAATTTTTACAGTTCTATCTAAACCCATTCACCCCCCCCCACCAAAAAAATACACAGACACACACACACACACACACACACACACACTGCAAACAACTTCATATAGTGTAGGGTGACATCTAGTGGTCATAAACCAGTATTACACAATAAAACAAATTCTGCTGTCACCGCCACTAATCATACTACAAAGGAGGAGACAAACTTCAGACCTCCAGCTGTGACGAAACTACAAGTTCCATGATGCATTACAAGACTTACAGCCACAGGCATGACTCCCAGAAGCAATAGCATGATGGGGTTTGTAGTTAAAGCACAGCTGGAGGGCTGGACTTGCCCATCCCTGTTTTACACCCTCAAAAGTGCTTACTGTTTAGTTAAGGTGGAACACTGGTATTTCAGTATAGCAAGCAGGGTCGGGTAGACCAGCTTCAGACCTCCGGCTGTGATGAAACTACAAAGTTCCATGAGGCATTGCAAGCCACAGGCATGACTCTGAGGCAGATGCATGATGGGACTTGTGGTTTCATCACAGCTGATGGACCAAAGTTTGTCTGCCCCTGATAAAACCATAAACATATAGCAATCACACATGTACATGTATTTTTTCTTTTTTTTTTGGCCGGCCTGCTTACCAGCGGATGCGTGAGAGCAATCATATTCTTCCCCTTCCACTTGCTTTCAAACATTTCAGCAAAATACGGACTTCGGGCACCGAGGACGCAGCGGTGAGTACAGAATGACATCCCGTGGACCAGGAACATGGTGTCGCTGTAGGAGCCTTGCTCCATGAGCCTGAACAAACAAGGAGTGAAAAAAAAAAAAAACTTTATTCCATCACTCTAGCGGCTAGAATAAAATATTTAAAGACAAAAGAATGAGTTTACGCGCATACGCCACTAAACACCATGAACGCGGTTATTTGTGCTCCAAAATGTCCATTTGTTTTTAAATGTAAATGTTGGACTTTTCTGCCAGCTTCAACTGAGGCCCTCCAGCTGTTGTGGAAACTACAAGTCCCATGAGGCATTGCAAGACTGACAGGCACATGCATGACTCCCAAAGGCAGAGGCATGATGGCATTTGTAGTTAAAGCACAGCTGGAGGGCCGCAGTTGCCCACCCCTGCTCTACGCACTTGTAAATGAGTCCTTACTGTTTACTTAAGGTGGAAAACCAGTATTCCAGTAAAGCAAGCAGGCACATTCTAGAATCACCAAGTTATTGGTAAAATGAGTGGAGGGTATAGGTGCACTTCATCTATGACAGGATGAAAAAACAAAAACAAAAAAACTGAATCCTGAGCCGGTATTCTGTGTTGTCTATATGCATTTCAATGTTTCATTTTCAATTAAAGTGACACTAAACTCAGGAGTTAAATCTTAAAAATACATTCACGTACAATAACTATGAACAACAATGTATTTGTGCATCACTCGGCTGTCGATCCTCCAATCATCTCTGAATTGGTGCCGACACTGTCCTTCCTTCTGGAGGGGGGCTACTTTTGTTCCCCATGGTCCGTGTGTGTTGTAAAGTAGTCACCGCTCCAAGATCACTCCCCTGATGGACCACAATCTCAGTACAAATTAGTAAACTAAACGTGAGATTGTAGTCCATCCCGGGAGCGAGCTTGGAGCGGTGACTACTTTACAACACACACGGACCATGGGGAACAAAAGTAGCCCCCCTCCAGAAGGAAGGACAGTGTCGGCACCAATTCAGAGATGATTGGAGGATCGACAGCCGAGTAATACACAAATAAGATACATTGTTGTTCATAGTTATGGTACTTGAATGTATTTTTACTATTTATCTTCTGAGTTTAGGGTCACTTTAAAATTTAAGTTGTCAGTTACGTTGTTACTTTGAACGATCACAGATTGCTGGTCCCCCACCATGCGTACCTTTGTAAGAAGTCATCATAATAATCTCTCTGCATACACTTTGCTGTGATTCGCTTGTATTCCTTTAGCAATCTGCGGATGGGGTCGCTCAGCGCACCGTACAAGCAGCGCTCCCCATCAAACGTGTTCGCTTCACACCGGGCACCTGCAAAATAAAAACCGCATGTGTTAAAAACAGGAAAATTTAGGGGAGGCAAGTCTCAGCCGGAGCAAAAGAGCAGAGAGGTTCCAGCTTACATATGGAATATGAGGGGTCGCAATGGGCATTGCCTCCACTCCAACGCTGGATTTTATTAATCGGTCGCTCATTGATAAAACTGCTGCAAGGGTCAGTGATAAATGATCCATGTAACTGTTACCAAGCTTTCCTGTAAATGTAAGATATGCAAGAAGAACCCAATTCAGTTCGCTGCCCCCTGATATTCTAAAACCAAATTAAACGCCGCTTCCTTGGACCACACTCAAGGTGATCTGTATACAAGCAGAAGCAGCACTGTGTATACAGAACAGCCCCAGAAAAGACATTGCCTTCTCATGTCACCCATTTCTCAGCAGTTTTTCTCTTAGCATTACCAAACCATATGATTAGTTTCAGTGGACTTTCTAGCAAAGTGCAAACTGCTGCAAGCAAGTTCATCATGTGATCTAAAGCCTAGGCAAAGATCACATGATCTCTGGCCAATAGGACCAGCCATACCATAGTAGCCTATCCATGTTAAACGGCATGGTGTCTGGTATAATTAATGACAGGGGGCTGCCATAGGGACAGCACACCACCACAACCCTGTCTAACAGGTCAGAAGAGCGGGCACAGTGGCTGTGGTGGAGTGAGGTGGGGGGGGTTGCTATGCTGAGTGCCGAAACTAGATGCACTGAATAGTATAGACAGAAATGATAAAAACCGGTTCAAAACCAGATGAGGGGCAACCACACCGCAATGTAACAGAGTATCAACTTTACATCACAGCACCATAGGTGGGCTTTACCACTTCTATCAGACTACGCTCTGACCTCAGCACTGGACCACTGGCTGCGGCTTTGGTGTCCCCTCATAGGCCTAAGGTGTCACCCTTGTGTGCACATTCCCAAAGAGCGCACACTGCCTGTGTGCTCTAGTGAGCAAGTTCCTCTGCTCTCACTGTGTGCTCAGTGGGCGCCCTCCCCTACTCAGAAGTTCAGGAAAGTGGCATTCAGCGTCTGGGAGCGAACGACTTTGTACCGGTTTGGCCACAATGCGGTATTTTCATGTATTGGTCCATGTTACACCGCTTACCAGAATTTAATTAAAGGGTTAATAACCCCTCAGCAGTTTTTGCATAGATCTACTGCTGGCAAGCAGTAGATCTATGCAAAACAATGATAAAACAAAAACAAAAACAAAAAACAAAAAAAACTTACCTGTGTCTCCGCCCCGCGCTCCCGTTCGAACATCTGAAAATTCTCGGGTGGCCGCAAAGGATCTTGGGGCGGGCGCATGCGCAGTTCAGATTTTCGGCCAGGAGACGAGGAGAGACAGAAGGTAAGTCTATGGAGCAGCATGCACCCGCACAGACTGTGTGGGACAGAAGTGCCAGCTAGCACAGAGGTGTCAGCGCTGGATCAGAGACCCGCACCAGCGCTGGAGGGACAGCTAAAACGTACAGGAAAGAAGATGATCGGATCAAGAGGCATCATTTAAGGCAAGTCCTTACATTAGCAATGTGGGGGAAGGGGGGAAACTTTAGCCTTTAATGTCACTTTAAGTTAAAAGGTTTAATGCCGCTATAACATCCAGTCCATAAGAATGGTAGCCGCTATGCCCTCTGTACTCCACCCCAGCCACGGTCTTGCCATTCCCACACTGCAGTTCTTTTTGCATTGGCAGTGATGCAATTACATTGCTGCTTGATGTAGTGGCTGGACCTGGAAGTCTCAGAATCCTGGTCTGAACTGTCCACTGTAACGGCTTCTTTTGATTGACATGCCAGGAGGCTCCCGGTCTGTCCCATCTCCCATGACCTCACACTTTACCTGACAAGCCAGGAGGCTCCCGATCTGTCCCATCTCCCATGACCTCACACTTTACCTGACAAGCCAGGAGGCTCCCGATCTGTCCCATCTCCCATGACCTCACACTTTACCTGACAAGCCAGGAGGCTCCCGGTCTGTCCCACCTCCCACTTTACCGGACAAGCCAGGAGGCTCCTGATCTGTCCCATCTCCCATGACCTCACACTTTACCCGACAAGCCAGGAGGCTCCTAGTCTGTCCCATCTCCCATGACCTCACACTTTATATGACAAGCCAGGAGGCTCCTGCTCTATCAAATGACACAGGCACAGTAAGCAGATGTCAAACAGAAAGTGATGTCATGTGTAACGAGATTCCTCCTCACGGTGGACGGTCATAGGCAATTCTGAAGCTAGGCGGCTTACCATTTGCTAAAAGGTACCGCACCAGTTCCTCATGTCCACAAAGACAAGCGTAATATCTAAAAAGACAAGAAAAATAAAGAGAGTCACTAACAGGAGACACAGTTATGGGTCAAAGATTAAAAGGAATTGTCACTTCTACAAAGTGGCAGGTTCTCTTGATAGGACATTCTCCACCCAGTGTTACCTTTGCCTCACTCCCCGTGGCTCTGTTAGTGCCTTCGGACATTCCCAATGCTTCTGGGTAAGGGGGGAGCACAAGACTGTAGGGTAGGAGCGCAACACCCCCAAAGGGTGGTTTGAGGGTAGGCTCAAAGTGATGGAAGCACAACGTCTACATTCTTACTGTGTTTGGTCCTTTAAGCACTTCCCATAATAAACCAACCACCCTGGTGGCTCCCTGCCAAAACTATATAAACCTGAGCCATTTTTCCAACGTCAGGGCTGGCACTTAACTCCTCAAGTCACAACTACTTTCTCTAGGGACCTCTCTGGTGACTGTTCGAGGCAACTACACTGCCTACCCAATCCAAGAGCTCCCTAAGGCTGCTACCTCTCTGTAGGCATGGTGACATCTAGTGGGCAAATAGGGGAACTACACCGGGGCTCCTGTGCCCATACCCTACATCAGTGGTTCTCAACACGTGGGTCGCGACCCAAAAGTGGGTCGCGACACCTTCTGCAGTGGGTCGCGGTATCATTTCTTCATGGAGCGGCCCATCTGCAGTAGAGCGAAATAGAGAGGGGAATTTGTAGTACAGCTTGTGAGAACTCCATAATGTAAAACTGTCCCCTCTCTCCCAGCCTCCCCCGGGCTCTCCGATAAAGTGGTATGGCCCGGGGAGAGAAGGGACTATTTTCTCACTTGATCTCTTGCCCTTCCTCCCATGATGCAGTATTGGGGCCTGAGTGACCAATCCCCAGGCCCAAATACTGTCATATGAAGGAGGGGATTTTGCCATTTGTCCTGCATAAGCTCTGACACCGAGTCTATACAGGGATTAAACTCAGAGCTCTGAGAAGCAAATGTCTTAGGGAGCAAGCCAAACACCGTTCCTGTGGAATGGGTAGGTGCTGGAGCCTCTACCAGGAGATTATTTCACACACGCAATGCAATTTGAGGTTATGTATTTCAGATCTACGTTCAACTGTGTAATTCAGTGGCCGCCTGATTGGATACAAATAGAATAGAACAGGTGTGGGCAACTCCGGCCCCCCAGCTGCGCTTTAACTACAACATCCGTCTGCCTGTGGGAGTCATGTCTATAACTGCCGCATGGGACTTCCACAACAGCTGGAGGCCTGGAGTTGCCCACCCCTGGTATAGATTGTTCAGGTTGACCCTGACTTTACAAGGATTTGGTTATTCCAACATTGGCCATACATGTCAGGGTGCAGAGAAGTGCGCTCGTTATACCCCACTAATTGCCCCAAAAAGATGTTGGTTTTAGTAATTGCCCTGCGGACACTTTTCTAACCCAACAAGGTATTATCCCTAGTGGTTGTCTTGGCTCTATGTACCAATGCAGTATGAGCTACAGTAACTGGCCCAGTGTGGTGTGACTCCCAGCGATTGGCCCATTGTGTCTGTATTATGCACTGGCGTAGTGTGACCCCAGTAATTGTCCCAATGTGACCTCTAGTACTTCCCCCAATCAGTCAGCATCATGCCCTGGGCTGGTTCTAACCTAAATAACTGCCCCAATGTAATGCAACACCCCCAGTAAATTGTCTGAATGAATAAGCCCCATCCGCCCTTATGCAATATAAACCCAATAATTGCCCCGGTGTTTCTCTTGAAACTCCTCGAACCCTCCATCCTTGAAGAGCGTGGACGGCGGAATCTGCACTGCTGGCTACTGTATTACAACAGCCGGTGCCCACAGCTCTCACCATCCCTAAACAGTGACCGCAGCCGACTGGATGCAGTCACCGTTCCGCCATCAACGCAGATCCTTCGATTCTGAAATCGACTTTTGCAGATGGGGCCACCCGTAGAAACGGCTGGGATTTCGAGGAAGTGTATGGCTTTGATAAATTGTACAGCGAGCATAGGAGGAGGTTTCTTCAAACATTATACAATCAGGTGAAGTATTCATGTAACAGATTCATGTAACAGATTTCCCCTCATCCTGCAGAGTGTTAAAATAGAACTATGAAGGGGGGGGGGGGGGCTTTTCTGGCTGCGGCGTCTCAGTATATAGAGAACTGTAGCTCGCGGTATACTGAGCTTAGGGTGAGGGGAGGACGCTAGTTTGTGTCCTCCCGTTACCCTAAGGAGAACTATGGGGAAAAACACTGACCCCATAGTTCTCCTTTAAAATAAAAGTGCGTTCCTTTTAAACTCGCGTACTTTAAAAAAAAAAGAAGTCTACCATAAAAGCAGAGTTTTTAGGGGGAACCTACAAGGGAGTACTGTCCCACTTGTCACGCACATTCAGTTCCACGTCTCTCTGCTCCACAAGGTATCTGCAGAGAAAACAGAAAATGTTAAAGTCACAGAAATCGGAGAGAAGGTCAGAAGAGAGGAGGACGCCGGAGGTGCCACACTGTGCTGGGGACTCTGTGTCACCAGAGGCCTCCGATCACACTCTGGATGGCGGCCAAGAGAGGCACCACGCCGATCACCTGATAATGTACATCAAGTTATTTCAAGAGAGCAGAGCATTGTGGGGGGTGTAGTCCTGCAGCACTGCATAGAGTACACCAGACAAGGCATTACCCC